GCGCCCAGAAAACACTACGCAGAAAATCGAAGACGAACACCCTTGCGCGATGATCTCGGACCACCACGTCCAATTGGATGGCAGCCCGAGAGGCTACCCGCTATCAGGTGCCAACCACGGGAGCACGACCTGGAGTGCCCTTTCTCCCACGTGGCCTTCAAAATGCACTTCGCGTTGCTCCTGAACGTGGCCGACGGGGGCGCCAACGCCCAGCGCGACAACTACGACGGTCATCCTACTCCTCCTTGCCCTAACCCAGTATTCGCCAAAGAGCAACACGACGGAGACACTATGGCACCTATCCTAGGTTGATGACCTCACCAGAGTCATATACACAGCCAGCGCTACAGACCAGGTTGACGCAACTACCCCCGTAGCCTCTTACCGTCGCCAGACTGCCCTCTCCTTAGATCTCAAGCCGCACCCCGACAAAACAAAGGTCATCCTCAACCTCTACGGCACCGATGCAAGGAAAGGCGGCGAATGGCAATGTACCGCATCAGTGCCCTCGACTTCCCCGACATCAACATAAAGCTGAATATCACCGACCAGCAGCAGGCCCCGGGCACGATCATCACGACTGGGACAGCAATGAGACCCGAGACCAGACTTCGAGCCGACCGATCCGCTGCAACGACTAAAGCCCTGGAGCGGCAAATCTTACAAAGAAAAGGACCCCCAGCAAAAGCTAAGATCAAATATGTGCACGCCCTATCTACCTCTGCACTTACGTTCAACCACCACATCTGGAACGACCTGACTAATAAAGACACGAAGTTCATGGAAGTTAAGTATGCAGGGCCGTGCCGTGTCGCCATGGGACAACCGAAGACCAACTTCCCCACCCCCCACATCACAGCGAGGGAAGTCATAGCATCCACTGGGGACCCCGACGTCTCAACCGACCAGTCAATTGCACGACTCAAATATCTACCTCGCCTACTTAGCAACGCACCACGGTTACTGCTACGACCACTTGACAACACCGCTACTGTTAAACGAGGATTGGTGCAGTTGCTCAAGAATGACTTTCATCGTCTTCGAACTTACCTCATCACATCACAGACTGGTCTAGGCGGAAGCCGAAGGAGTTCAACTCGGCCGTGGGCACAGCTACCAATGCATTCCTAAGACACGCATGCAATGATGCCAAGACAGACAAAACAAATCGCGATACCGGATACGCCCAGCAACATTCCGCGAACGGCCGCTCAGTCACAGACGCACCGACCACGGAGTACATCTGCTACATTTGCGAAAGGGTCACCGCCACTAAGCAGGGGATGGCTGTACACATGGGAAGAGACCACAAACACCATGACGACCCCCGACACTGGCCGACAAACACAGCGTCCTGATGCTGCCAAACGGAATTCCACTCGTACCCACGACATGCCGAGCATTTAAAGGCATCGAACCAATGATAAGTTTCCTGGTATGCTCGGCACACAATCTACGGCACGCCCTTGACCGACCAGCTAATCTCCTTCAACAACGCCCACCACACGGAAGTTACTACAAAGAACCGACGTGACGGACGACCCGAAGCATACGAACCACAACCAGCACATCGATGCGACATCACGCCTCTGCACATTCTCGAAACATCCCCACAGCAACCCAAAGTCTACGCCCCATTTCGTACCAGACAACCCGTGCAGCACCCTCATATCCCGAACGTGTCAGCCGATGTTCGAAGAGATGATGGCGCTGGGATGCGCAACGACATATTTCAGCACATGATCACCCAGGGCATCTACAGCTTGCGAATGACTGACTGCGTCCACATCAGCCTACATCAGGGACGGGACTCGACAACGACGAGGAGGCTAACCAACCAACTAAAGGCGAACATGGCAAAGGGCGTCATCGCGGGTATCTACGCGTACATTCGGACAGCCACGTGGTTCGCCGAAGACGGCGACGAAGAAGGGCGGAACATGGTATCCAACCGTTCCTCATACCACCAGTGGGGAGTACCAAGCATGGGCCAAAAAGACTACGACATCATCTCGGTAATGAACGACGACCTCAGGGACATCATCGAGATCCCCAGCATCTCGCAGAACCTCCAGATCCTCATGATCGTCGCCCATCCTGAAGCGAAACCCAACAACGAACATGATAATACGGCCTGGGAGACACCTCAGTTGCAGCACCTGGAACGCCACCCGGCATCCAGCAGTACCATAACAATCAGTCCCAACGGCATACGAATAAAGATCCTGGCGACGAACCATGGACTGGACTATCAAGGTGAGCATCATGACATGGCCGCAATACCTACAGGGACAGCGTCCACGGCCATCATGGACAACAATAACACCAACACGGACATCAACACCCACCTGGACTGCGCCACGGACAACAACAACGCCATCATGGACAACAACAACAACAACAACAACAACAACAACAACAACAACAACAACAACAACAACAACAACAACACCAACAACAACAACAACAACAACAACACCATCATGGACAACAACACCATCACGGACATCTACACCATCATGGATAACAACAACTTCGTCACGGACAACAACACCACCATGAACAGCAACCACACCATTATGGACAGCAACCACACCACCAGGAGCAACAACACCACCATCGGGGACCCCCCCTCCAGGCGGAGGGGGACGGCGGCTTCCCCGCCAAGTAAGAGAGCCCTGTAGACGCAGGCGTTCCTGCCAGGAGACAGGACTCAGGATCTCCCCCCGTTCTTCGCCCCCGAGGCTTCCTTCCCCCCCTTTCCCCTGTCCGGGCCAGGGTGTTTGCAGCACGGCTGCTCAGTACTGATACCCTCGCCCCAGCAGCGTGACTACGGCGGCGCGGCTGCTTGTTCCATCTGGGACGGGGGTGTCAAGGTACGGAGGTTGCCCACGTGTCCAGGCTTCGACCCCCGCGTCCTGGCCCCCTCTCGTCCATCGGCCATGCAGCCTTCCTCCTCCTCTCCCTGGGGGTCGGGCGTCTCTCTTCGCCCGCGTTGCCCCTCCCCCCCCCCTCTTTCAGAGCCCTGGAGGCATCCTTCCTCTTCCCCCCCGTCCCGTCCGTTTCTTCTTGGGGGCCCTGGGCTCTGGAGCCCTGGTCCGTCGGGCCCTCGTGCCTGTCGGCCCTGTCGGGCCTCCGCGGCCCCCTTTTCTCGTTCGGCCTCCGGGGGCCATCGTGGTGGAAAGCTTCGCGCGGCCGCGGCGCGGCCCGCCGCGCGACGCAATGGCGGCAAAGTCCGCCCTCGCCTAGGCGGAACAATCCGCCTAGGCATCGGCCGCATCGCCAGAGCGACTTGGGGCCGCGCTCGAAAGGCTCAAAAGGCCGCATAGAGGGAAGAGCGGCGAGAAAAAGGGGAGAGGGGGGAAGGGGCCTCCGAGGGCTTACCAGCCGACCACTCCAGAGGATGGGCCCGAGAGCGGGCGGCGCAAGCGAGCATTTTTCACAGCAGCGTGTGGCCTCCGCGCGCGCGGGCGGCCTCCGCGTGGGTGACGAACCGCGAACGCATCCACATCAACGCCCTCGACGTCTGGATTCTGGGGCGCGATGCCGTGGACGGATGGTCGCACGGACACGTTCTGCTCTTCGCGGGGCATCCGCGAAGCAAATCGCCCCGTATCCACGGGATCGCGGCTACGGGGCCCAGCGTGCGAGGCAGTGGGTGTGGATGGACCTTCCGTCCACGAACTGGGGTGGGGGCCCTCAGAGCCCGGAGCCTGCCAGGAGCAACGCGGCATCGCTGCTTGCCATGCGTCCATGCGGTCCTGGCCATCGCCGGGGGCCCCTCCTCAGGGCGACTCGCCCAGAGCTCCGATGGCACGCCAGCGAAGGAGAGGCCCGATAATGACTTGCCCAGCCTCTTCGGAAGTGTCAGCGTACGACGAGAGGACTAGAGAAGGTTCGCTTCACACTGCTTTCATGGGGGTTCGGAACTGTCCCACGCGCAACAACTGATTCGGAACAAAAAAATGGTGACTGTGCCGCTTCAAAAACGCGATGTTCAGAATAAGACGTCCTCAGCCTTCGGAAGGTCAGAGAGAAGGAAGAACAGTGCAATTATGGGGCATCCTTTTCAAACCGACACTGAACAGAAAACCGAAAATCAAATTCCGAACCGACCGAATCCGAGCCACTAACATTCAGCAATCCGATGTGGAACATCCAAACACTAGAAAAACTCTGGACCTGCTTCACACATGATTCCGCAAACCTCTGTAACTTGACGACGAGATTCACAATCCCAGATCAACCAAATCTGCTCCACAAACATAGAATGGGCCTGACAATTACGAACTGGTAAGTCTGGACGTGCCTAGAGCAACTGCAGACCTCCTGAACAACATCGTAGACATTACCTACCAATGTCGAACCGACCAAATCTGAACCAACCGGAATGATAATATGATAATCTAGATCTGCTTCACGTAAGTTTGGCAGTCCTTCGAAGACAAAACAGCTCAGATCATGCTGTCTGGAAAGCTGGCATGTTCACCATACGTATTAAGATGTCGGGCAACATCTCGTTGCTTTTCGAACGTCGGGTGTCCTTGATTCTAGGCCGTATCCCATGCTTCTGTTTCATCTTACTTGGGACTAGGGGGACTGATAACATGTAGGTGACTTCTTCTGCCCTGGTAGAAGAATTTCACCACGTTGTCTATCGATCTTCCTCGTCATCGCCCCTCTCCACGAGAATCGCACGGGACCAGATTTTAACCCGGGCGCTGGCCCACCCGCCCTGTTCTGCATGAGGCCGCCCTCACGGACGGATGGCGGTGCCTCGTGCCTAGGGGAAGCCACTCATCACAAGGGACCGTGGGACGAGAGACAAGCTCTGGCCTTTCTGTATGGGGCCGCCCTCACGGACTGATGACGGTGCCTCGTGCCTAGTTAACGCCGCTCATCACAAGGACCGTGGGAAGAGTGACTCGCGTGAGAGCATGCGACAGGGCCCTGGATGTAGGCGAAAACCTGAAGCTAGAATATTAATATTAGCCTGGCACTCACCTCAGGAACGTGAAGAGGACTGACGACTGAAGAACAAGCAATGCCACCAACGAAAGCGCTGGATTCCTCCTGCGATCCTTCGAATAAGACAGAGATACAAAATAAACTAACGCGACACTGAATGCTTTGGCGACGCTCCGCGCCACGCCCGAGAACTCCTTCAATAACATGTTTCCCAGCCAAGCGTCCGCCAACAGGAAGAGGAGCACAATAACGGTGCGCCTGTCCCAAGAATCGAAGAATCCACCAGGTCGCATCGTCCTGTCAAGGATGTTCTCGCCTGGCTGGAAGCGAGGCACAACGACGTAAAGCATGATGAGGCCTATGAGAAGATGGCCGAAATCCTCAGACACCTTGGAGACGTAGAAGGGGAACTGCGATCCCTTGTAAGTGCGCTCGGCGATAATGCCACCAAACACGTTAAGCAACACCCATCCAAAAATCTGATTCAGTCCGGTCCACTTCCATGGCTTGCCTTCGGTTCTCCGTCCCTGCCCCTTCAGCAGGACAAATGCAAGACAGCTGACCGATATGAGAGCGATTGTCTGCCACTGCGCTGCAGAATACCTTCTTGATAGCAGCACTGCTGAAAAAATCGCCAGGACTGGCAATCGTAACTGGCCAATGATCTTGATCGTCCCAGCCTGAAAGTGGTTCACTGCCATCATTTTGAGAGAAATCCCCACGCCGAAGCAGATCGACACGGGCATAAAACTAAGGAACATACCCAAGTCGAGACACTGCCAGAAGGCCACGGAGCCGCCCATACAGGCCGAAATGCCCAAGCCAGAAACTATGGAACAGGAGCTCCGAAGCATAGTGAGCACATGTCGATGGACAAAATCCGATGACCATGACCCAGACTGAACGCCGAAACGTCGGCGCCGACCTTGCTCAACGTCCATCCTGGCCATCGTCCACTCGTGAATTCAAACGCCCGATTCGGCGGCGGCTTGCATCTTGGTCCCTCGAATGATCGGGAACGTTAGGGAGGAAGGGCTCAGGGAAAGATACATCGATCTGGCATCGACGGTACACCTCCGATAACGAATCCGCACGTTCCTGTAGCGGGGCGGCGATCAAAGGGCGATTGGGGGTCGATGCATCCCCCCGGAGCCCGTCCCTCCCTAACCCGCAACGTTGCCCCTGATCGACCATGCGATCGCGGTGGAAGTCAGGGTTCAAAGGTGCGGGCAAATAGAGAAAGCCGGGCTGAAACTTGTTATGGGGCCTCCCAAGCCCAGCTTTGCAACTATGCAAGGCCGCCTCCAGGGCCAGGAGCGCCTCCCAAACCCAGCGCAGCCAAGATCCAGCATTGCAGGACCCTGCAGGATCCTGCGCTCTGGCTGAGTACCGTTTGCGCTGAAACCCGTTGACTGCCGGCTGAGGCGATGACGACTCTGGTGCCGCCCCGGATGACCTGTCCTCCACTGCGGAGCCGAGCGTCGCAATGGAAGAGCAGCGCCGCCAGGCTGCGCAGGAGTCGCGCCCCAAGAACCTCGTCATACAACGGATGTGGATAAGCTCCCGCCCGCAGGGGCGGGCAGATATCCACATCCTCCGCTCCTCGAAGTCATGGGGCGCGACTCAGAAGCGGTGGATGTGCATATCTTCCGGCGGTGCGTACATCTGCCCGTCTCATGCCCCAGGTGCCTTCCAAAATGGTGTTTTCAAACGGTGGCGTTTACACAGTCGGAGCAGCCGTCCAACACGAGAGCTCGAAGCAGCGCAAAACACAGAAGCGGCACCACAACTTTTCCACACAGCGTTTTGGCCGGTCCCAGTCGTGGTCCAACCCCCTGCCCAACCCGTGCCCGACCCCCCGCCCAACTCCCCGATGGCAACTCATGGGAGCCTCCCATACCAAATTGCTGGCTCTTGCGACTCGATGTAATCAGCGCCAAGTCGGCGCTAGCTCATCGATTACCAAAAGATAATCTCGACGCTGGCGCACTTTAAAGACAGAGTTACGAGGGTGCACGAGGCTCCCATGACCTGCTACCGAAAAGCCCAGCCTGGCGATGGAGGAATCCTTCCTGCCCAACTTAGCGGACGAATAACGATGCAAATCAGGCTTGTCTGCAATTTGGGGCGACTGTCCGGAGAAAGCCGCCCCTGGGACATGCGTCCCCGACTGCGGAACATCTTGCTACACCGTTCTAGAAGAAAACAAAACGCCATAAACATAAACTTGTGGCGCTCCGCGCGGATTTCTTGGATCTGCGCCGGACCGCCCCCTCCCCGGCGCGCGGGGCGCGCCAGGGAGGGCACTGCATGCGCAGCAGTGGGGGCACAGCGCGGATCCAAGAAATCCGCGCGTAGTGCCGAACAGGTCTGTTTCTGGACTTGCTTCTTCTTCGATCTTCGTCCGCTCACCAAAAACAGCGAACACCATCCCGCAAGACGTGGCCCTGTTTCGGAGCGCCTGCATAGACAGCAGAGAATTGAGCACCAGGACGGTCTGCCGGGCGTACTGCTGCCCGGCGCGGGTCTGGTCCCAGGACCTCTTCTCGGCCCAGTCCATGGTCAGCGCCTGGCCGGCGTCGACCGCGATGAAGAGCACCAGCAGAGACCAAGATCTGGTGGCCTCCCAGGGCTGAGGCTCCCCAACCCACCGCCCCCTCGTTCCCCGAGAGCTCGTGATGACAGCAACCACTACCACGAGTATTTGACATGTGGGCGTGCAAGACTTCAGGGGCCCTACGTATTGGTGGTATTCCCGTGTCCCTGCATGCTGTCGTGACTGCCCCACGACTAACGACGAAAGGTCAAACTTAGAGCGGTCAAGCTCATTGAGATCTGAACGTGCTCTCATCTTGAAGCGCAACCGTGGAAACTTTGCAATCCTACCGACAAACAGCCCAAAGGAGGCCACGTCAAAATCCCGTCGGTTCTGCAGAGCAAAGCCCCCGGATCTTTGACATGGCGTTCCGTTCGCCCCACAAGAGGCCACGTCAGATTTCCGCGGGTTCCGCAAAGCAGAACCCAAAGATTTGTGACGTGGCTTTCCCTTCGCCCCAAAAGGAGGCCACGTCACAACCCCGTAGGTTCAGCAAGGAAAAAACAAGGATGTGTGCCATGGCTGTCCCTTTTCCCCAAAAAACACAATACCAAAATCCCGTGGGTTCTGCACAGCAGAACCCACAAATCTTTGACATGGCTTTCCCTTTCGCCCCAAAGGAGGCCACGTCAAATTCCCGTGGAATCTGCAAAACCCAAGGAATTTGGACGTGGCGTTCCCTTCAGCCCAAAAGAGGCCACGTCGAACTCCCGCTGATTCTGCAAAGCAAGCCACAAGGTTTTTTGGCATGGCTTCCCCTCCGCCCAAAAGAAGGCCAAGTCAAAAACCCGTGGGTTCTGCAGAGCAAAACCCAAAGATGTTTGACATGGCTTCCCCTTCATCCCAAAGGAGGCCACATCACAATTCCGTGGGTTCTGCAGAGAACCCCCCAGGATTTTTGACATGGCGTTCCCTTCGCCCCAAAAGAGGCCACGTCAAAATGCCGTGGGCTCTGCAGAGCTAGCCCCAAGGAGATTCGACATGGCGCTCCGTTCTCCCCAACGGAGGCCACAACAAAATTCCGCGGGTTCTGCAGAGCAACTCCCACAGACGTTTGATCTGGCGTCCCCAAGGAGGCCATGTCAAAAATCCGTGGGTGCTGCAGAGCAAAAACCCAAGGAATTGTGACGTGGCGCTCCCTTCGCCCCAAAAGTGGCCATGTCAAAATGCCACGGGTTCTGCAGAGCAGAACCCAAGGATTTTCGACGTGGCGCGTCACATTCCCGCGGGTTCGGCAAACCCAAGAGATACCCATCCTAAACAAAACGAAAAACAACACGATGCAACGGATGGGCGCGCGGAAAACAAAACAAAACAAAACGCGCGGCAAATGTCGCTAAACGAAAAACAACGCAAAACTAAACGCTGGGCCTGCCCGGCCGTCTGCCATCGGTTTACGCAATCGTTTGAAACCAAAACAAAACGCGTTCGGAACGAAAAACAAATCAAACAACAAAACAATTATTTGTTCATGTAAAACAACGTTTTCGGCCAGCGCTGGTTACCAGGATAGCCCAAACACGTTAGTAAATACTTGTAGCTGTGCTACATGGGTTGCACCTTGCGTGGTCGATGATACGATGGCATAAGCAAGGATACGAGCTTATAAGCTGCTTATAAGCTATATATAAGCTGGTTCTAAATATGATATAACTACTTACGTCTGGTTTAAATGGTTAGGAACCGCCGCGGAGACTCAAGTGGGGGCTTCTGGGGCCATGATGGGGCTATCTTGGGAGTCTTGGTGCGCTCTTGGGGCGTCTTGGCGGCTTCTTGCCCTCCCAGGAAGCCATGGTGGACGCCTCGGGGGGCGCAAAAAGGGCTCCGGGACGCCCGGGGACAAAGAGGGTTACCGGGGGGGGGAAATCCGAGAGGGTGTGCCGGCCCCGGGCCCGGGCTCCTGGTACTTCCGCACATGACTTACACGGAATTGCGGCCGTCCGGGCCAATGACACCAGAGAAAACTCCAATCAGTGAATTGTTTGAAACTTAGTGATCTGGACATTGAGATCGACTGTAATATCGATAGTGAGGTCAAAAGTGGAATCGATAGCGAGGACGATCATATGGCCGATCGTGAGACCGATAGTGAAGTGGATTCAGTGATATCGATCGTGAGAACGCTCGTGCGATCTATAGTTAGATCGATTGTGAGATCGATCCTCAGATCGATTGTGAGTTCGATGGTGAGCGATGGAGGGGTGGGTAATGAGATCGATGGTGAGACCGACCGATTGGGAGATCGACCAGGAATTCGGGATATCTCGGCACCCCGAGGCCAACCAACGAAATCGGCCCGGAAACATGAACCAGGAACCCGGGAACCCGGAACTGGAAACCCAGGAACCTAGAAGCGCACCGATTACGACCCCTTCTGTGCAGGCACTGATTCGGGAAAAATGCAGCCGCCATCGAGGCGAGAGCACGACTCCTGAACATATGTCCAGGCGAAACGGCTACCGGACTGGGCGGTCTAAGGCTCCCTGGGAACAAAAATGTAGCCGGCACTGCGGCGAGAGCACGATTCCGGACGAAGTTGTAAGGAGGTCTCAGGCGCAACGGTTGCCCGACTGGGCGGTCTAGGGCCCCCCAGCCCCCCCTCGAGATACTTTTGGGGGAACTGGCGTGGCAAAAATGGAACGCCCGGATCTCGGGGCTCCTCCCTCCTTGAGGGGCAGCGTTGGGCCTGCAGGGGGGCCAGCGCAGGAGGGCGGTAGATCGCCGAAGCGCGCGGTCCTGGGCATGGGTGGGGCAATTGGGCCCCGATCGGCAATGAATGGGCGACTGGAGGACGATGCGTCCCCCCCCCCCTGAGCCACCCGATCCCGCCCCCCACCCATGTTCAGGACAAGTTTGTTTTCCCGAGCCGCTCGTTGACAACACAGTGCCGTGTGAAGGCCCCGAGGCCGAAACCAGCCAAAACAAGTCGTCATGATTTTCCCTATGGGGTAGGGGGACAGGGGGCCCTAGACCACCCGGTCTGGCAGACGTTTCGCCTGAGGCTTCCTCAGAATTGATTCAGGAAGTAAGACGAGGATCGAGACTAAATCGGACCGACACAGATCGGAAATCTCTGAGAATCGGCAGGTCTGGGGGATGTATCGGGTGCTGCGGCCTTCTTGATTCTCAGCGCGTTCCAGGACGCTCTGAGAGCGTTTGCAAAGCGCTCTGGAACGACTTATCTCGATTCGAGGCCTGCCTCAGGAATCCTGATCTCTCTTCAATGCGGGCTACATTTCTGGTCTGGACGGCCATGGTGCACATGACCGTGCGTTTCCAAATAATCCTTGAGAATACCTCGGAATCCACGGTGGGCAAAATGTGATCCGGGAAAGCTCCAGTGGAGTGCCATCCAGGGCCCCCCTGGCTCGAAAACAGGAGGCCCGAAGCACCAATTATCCCTGACCATCCCCTGCACTGATAAATGAGGGCTCTAACGAAAGACGAAGCTAAGGGTAGACCATATTTGGACAAAGATCAACCGGGAATCTCTGAGATCCGGCGGCTCCGGAAGATGTATCGGGCGCCGCGGCCTTCTCAGAGCGAATGCACGGAGAGCGTTCCGGAACGCTCTGGAGCGGACTTGTCCTGGGCAAATAGCTTCGTCCGATACAGTGACGGCCTGGGCCACGAAGGAGGCGGCCGCCGCTGGCACCCGCGACGCGCTCGCGCGCCAATCTGCCGGCGCCCGGCCCGGGCACCCGCCCGGGCCGGCCAGGGGCGAGTCCCCGCGCTGCCAGCCGGCCTGCGGGCGGATGGGGCACAGCACGCGCGCGGTCCAGGGTTCGGCGGCAAGCCGAGGGGGGACCGCGTCGTTGTCGTCCAGAGTCGCCGGTTTGCGCCGTCGGTTTGCCTAGGCGTGGATCGCCGTCGTTGTCGTTGTCGCCGTCGTTCCTCGATCGCTTGGTCGGTCGATCTGGGATCGATAGCTGTGCGGCGTCTCCAGGCTGGTGTGCCCCTGCGGAGGCCTTTTTGAGAGCTCCCTGGACTTCTGGAGGCCGCATATTGACAACAACATATCTCGAGTAGGGGATCGACCACATGACTGATGCGACCAAAACCTTATTTCCTCGTCGACTCTGCAAAATAAATAGGTATAATCTTCGTAGATGTACGAACATTCAATGTAGTTTATGGTCTCGACGAGATGTTCATTCGTGGGGCAAATAAGTTGTATGGTTTCTCGGTATCCTACTCGGAATATTTCTTTGGCGGCGGCGCCCCCGGACCATGAGATCTCGGCGTTGCATGTTTTTCGCAGCGGGCGATGTTTTGCGTCGCTGCGAGCCCCGGGACCCTCACAGATCGATCTGGCTCGAGACATGGCTCAGAAAGATGGTGTTCAGGGCTCTGGCCGTGATTTTGTAGTGCTGTTCTTTCGCAGCGTCGGATCTGAGGGTTCTCAAGAAGGCGGCGGGGCTTCTCATCAGCCCTCCAGCCTTCTGAGGTGCCCGTCACTGGCTCTGGAATCAGAAGGCTTCTGAGAAGGCCAGGGGCCTTCGGAGCCTTCTGAGAAGGACCGCCCCCTCTGCCTCCTCCCCTCGGCGCGCCGCCGAGAAGAACAACACAGGCGACATGCACTCGAAACATGGTCACGAAGACGTGTCAAGAATGCGAGCCCCTCCGCTGAAGGCCAGAGGCACCATGGAGATACACCCAACAGAAATCCAGGGCGGAGATCCCAGACACGAGCAGCACGAGGGTACCCCTCGGAAGCTGGGGCTGCCTTTCACCATCGTGCCATCTGTGGCGGTCCGCACAGAGCGCTTGGGACGGCCCTGGTCGCTGACCCTCTCCTGGCACGCAGCGCGAAGCGCTACAAGCGGAGGCCCGCGCCAGCCCACGAATACTTACTGTCGCAACACCAAGCTGCCCGCGTTCCCGACCGTGCTAATGGAGAAACGGGATCGTGCAGCTGGCGGGCCCGGTCCTGTGAGAGTCCAGGAGGCACGAAACAGCGGAGTGCGGACAGCATGGGCTGGCCAGGTAAGCGCTGCTGCTGCGCAAACCACTGGAGCGCGCAGCACGCTAGAGAAGATCAGGGTGGGCTGCAACGCCACACCGCCGTGCCACAAGGGCACGCATGTGCAGGAGACACTTTGAACGGCTTTGCGCCGACCGCCACTCGCCCGCAGGCGTGGCCAATCAACCAACCAAGACAATCAGCCAGGACGAGCCTGCATAAATCGAGACGGGAACCCCACAGCGATCCGCAGCCCCTCCATGAGGGCGCCCACGGGCGTGGACACATGAGCTAGAATGACAGTGAGTAACGAGGCTAGGAGTGGTACACTTACCTTACCCCTGCTCCCCGAATTCTCCTGCCCCCCCCAAATTGCTGCCCACCTTAGGGGCGAAGAAAAACCTCTCTCAGCTCGGAGAGCTGATGTGCATGTGTAGTTGTCTGTTCCTCGGCGCCTGGGAGAGCGGGGGGGACCTCGACGCGCTTGTGAGCGGCTCAATCTGCTGGAGTGCAGGAGGGGGTGGAAGGCGGGGGGGAGGGCTCCTCAGGCCTCAGAGGGGCTCGAAGGCTTCTGAGGAGGCTTCTCGGAAGGCAGGAGGGCTTCCGAGAAGCCCACTCGCTCGGCCCCTTCGTGCGCGCCGCCAACGTGTGAGCGACTGAGAGTCTCACCCACGACGACACGGCGTTCTTGTACGATGGTTGCATGAGGGGCACGTCTTCTCCAAATCCGAAGCTGGCCCTCCGAACTGTCTTGATTTACCCCATACACACACACGCGGCGACCTCTTCCCAAGACGGGTTGTTTTTTACCCGGAGCCTGGAGCGTCTCCTCGTGACCCCACCAAGCAATGCCCAGAAACGGCTTCCCGGGGACCGGGACGCCGGGCGCAGCGCCCAAACGCCCGTCTCGATGTTCTGCAGGCAGCCTGACTTCGCGCATCGCGCCCTGGGATGCGCGACGCGCGGTTACCCTGTGGCCCTCGCGCTCTCGCGCCGACCCTCCTGGAGGAGGACAGCTCTCTAGTCCAGACCGCGACGCCCGAGTATCCTCGCGCCCCCGCGGGGGACCTGTAGACTTCTGCTCCGCGACCTGGGCCTCCCTCGGCCGCCGGAGCGTCGGCACCGCTCGCGGGGGGGCCTCTTCAGGGCCCCAGATCGGGTCTCAGAAAGACCGCAGGGTGACCTCGAGGCCTCTGACGACCTCATCTCGGAGGCCCCCGTTGGCGGCGCGGACCCAAGGAGTAGCGCGAAGGGAGGTCGCCTTCTGAGACATCGGGGGAGCTCTGGCTTTCGAGAAGCCTCCTTAGAAGGCTCCGTGGCCTCCTGACACGGCCCCTGCCTTCTAAGAGACCCCTCCGCCTTCTCAGTGAGCTGCCCCCCTCGTGCCGCCCCCTTGTGGGTGCAGCCAGCTCATCTCGGAGGTCACCAGTCGCACGAGGCATCCTCGGAGGGCGGCCTGTATGTCCCCAACACCACGCACACCCTGAATCCCCACGGTCTCACCCGGCGGGTAGGTCTCCGCACCGTCCTGGGACTTCCGAAGGGCCTGGGCATGGGAGCAAAAACAACCACCCCTCTCTGGCTCACCTCCCCAGGCCACCTCGCGTTATAGGAAAAAACGTGACCAAACGCTGATGACAATTTTCTGCCTCTGGGTGCCCTCACCGGGCCCCTTGACAGTGAACAAAACCACGTGGGATGACAACCTTAGGGGGAAAACAAACCTACCTCGCTTTTGACCACCCTCGCTTCCAAGAGATACCAAACGATGCCAAACTACGGCCTGTACTGGTCAGGGCGCTTGACGACGAGGCGCGTGGTATGACTTGGTTTTGCCTGGAAGCGAAAGCGGGGTAGGTAATTCACGCTCTGAAGCCTGGTCCTCAGCAGGACTCCGGAGCTCTGGGGGTGCACGTCTTGCAAAAACGCGAAGTCGGCGGTCTGGGTCGTCCCCAGAAGGGGAACGAAGGGGGGGCAAGGTAGGCGGGGGGTGGGGTATACGTGTTGTTGCGCTGCCTTCGCGAAACATGCTCGCAGTCGGGCCTCGAAGCTTCACGCCCAGCCCCAGAAGACAGGAGGGGAGGCAGGCGGAGGCGAGGGCGCGCTTGCTGTGCGGAGCCGCGCATGAATGCATGAAGGTATGCGGGCCTTCGCCCAAAAACACGCTGACAAACATATTTTTGCTGATCGTCCCACACTCACAAACCTGCCGGCAAAATGCCCTGTACCCCCATTATGTGCCCGACTCCTGAGGGAAACCATTGCTGGACCCCGGGGCCTTCCCCCAGGAGCAGCTCCTCATCGTGAGTCGTCATGTTCAGTCTGGGGGCCCTGGGACTGCCCCGATAGCCCAAACATGGTGAAACAAACTGCAGATCTCTTGGGCAGTCTTGGGGCTCTATTGGGTCGTCTGAGGTCTCTCTTGGAGGCCTCTCGGGCCGTCTTGGGACGATCCTGGGGGCCTCTTGGGCCGTCTTGGAGCGTCGAAAGCATGAACGAGAACGCTAAAATCCGTGAAACACCCCATTCTAAGGGGGGATCAATGTTTGTAGCATGTTTGGAGGCGTCTTGGAGCCCTCTTTGGGCGTCTTTCAGAAACAAGAGCTAGGTAGACATAAACCGTTAGAGGTCCACCCGGATATCTCCGATCTGGCGCGCGGAGGCACCGCCCCGTCAGGGCGCTCCAGCGCCGATCCAAGAAATCTTCCCGGCCCTCTGAAAGTGTCGGCTTATGTTGTGTTTTGTTCCACGAGTCTTGGGGAATCTTGGGGACCTCCTCGGTCTCAGGCATCTTGGAGGCATCTTGGAGGCACCCTGGAGGCATCTTGGAGGTCATCTTGGCCGTCCTGGGGGCCACCTTGGGCCATCTTGGCCATCTCAATCTCAGGACACGATTGCTTCACATGGGCCGACCTGGGGCGCCACCAGCGCCACCGTCACCGCGCGCCGCGGCGGCGCGAAGAACGAGGGTGAGCAGCTCCTGCGGCGGCGCGGCGAACGAAGGCAGGCAACTTCTCCGACGATCTGATTGTTTGGATCCCCGGCTGCACACAAGATTGACCTTTGGTGCGCCGCTTTCGTGGGGACGCAGGGGAGCCAAACCCACGCGCGGAAACTGCTGCAATCAAAAGTATTCACCGCAGGTCACTCCAGCGAAGGGTCACTCCGCACCACAGGTCACTCCGGCGAAGGGTCACTCTACGTCTGCTCGAGATCCGCGGCCCCGAGGTGGTCCCGATCCCCATACCTGGTTGTTCGTTTCTCGTCCTAGATCCCATGTTGTGATGGCCCTCGAGGCCCGACAAGGGGCCCCGAGGCCGAGAGGAAGGAACACAAATATACCCGACGAGTGAGTGCGGCGCGAAGAACTCGGGAACCGTTTTCCTGGCGAAGAGGAGGAGAGTGCGACCACAAAGCTGTTCACCCGACTCGGCCTCGACCGCTGTGCGAATCAAAAAGGCCGCCAAGCAAACTGGGGACACCGCAAGAGCCGTCCTGCGATAGGCAAGCTCGTGCACTGAACCGTGGCCTGAAATGTGAATGAGCGTGCCGCGTGCCGCAATGCAGGAATCGAAATAAGATGCGTACCAAGCTCGTTCTACGAGCGCACGCCGTAACGCGTGCATGGACCCCGATGCGCAGAACCCCCCCGTATCTGGCTAAATGCATTCCGTGGGGACGAGGTGCACAAGTCCGAGCACAAACACACACCCTA